TTATTCTGGATTGCTATGGGTCGGAACCGACTCGACGGCACACAACAACAACACATGTGAGGATCTTTGTTGTTGTTGTTAGGTGCTGTCAAGTTGGTCTCCACACATAGTGACCCTGTGCACAACAAAACCAAACACTGCCGGTCCTGTGCCACCCTCACAATTGTGCTTGAGCCCATTGCTGCTGCCACATGGCAGTCCATCTGGTGGGGGTCCTCCTCTGTTTCGCTGACCTGCCACTTTACCAAGCATGATGTCCTTCTCCAGGGACTGGTCTTGCCTCTTAACAGTCCAAAGAACAAGAGATGAAATCGCCATCCTTGCTTCAGAGTTGGAACATTCTTGTTTGTTCTTCTGGAAGCCCATGATAATTTCAGTATTCTTCACCAGCACCATAATTCAAATTCATCCAATCCTTGATTCTTCTTCAGTCTTCCTAGTCATTATCCAGTTTTCACATGCATCTGAGGTGACTGAAAACCATGGTCTGGGTCAAGCGCACCTTAGTTTTTAAACTGACATCTTTGCTCTTTAACACTTTGAAGAGGCCTTTTACAGTAGATTGCCCCCAATACAATACATCATTTGATTTCTTCACTGCTACTCCTATGAGTGTTAATGGTGGATCCAAGCACAATGAAGTCTTTGGAAGCTTCAGTCTACTCTCCATTTATCATGATGTTATTTATTGATCCAGTGGTAAGGAGTTTTGCCTCCTTTATATTGAGGTGCAACTCACACAGAAGGCTGTGCTCTTGGGTCACCAGTATTTGAAGTCATCTTCACTTCCAGCAAGTAAGGTCATGTCATCTGCATATCTCAGGTTGTCAATAAATGTTTCTCTAGTCCTGATGCCACATTCTTCTTCATATAATCAAGCTACTTGGATTTTTTATTTAGCATACAGATTGAATAAGTATGGTGAAAAGATACAGGCGTGGAGTACACCTTTCCTGATTCGATTAGAATGACTGTCTCTTGGTCTACCTACAGTCTCCTCATGAGTACTGTTAAGTGTTCTGGAATACCTATTCTTCCAAGTGTTATCTGTAGTTTGTTGTGATGTACATAGTTGAATGCCTTTGCATAGTAAATAAAGCACAAGTATACATCTTTCTGGTATTCTCTGGTTTCAGCCTAGATCATCAGACATCCTCTTTTGAATCTGGCTTGAATCTCTGGCAATGTACTTATTCAACCACTTTCCAATTATCATCAGCAAAAATTACTTGCATGTGGCGTAAATGATATTACTCACTGATTTCCGCATTCCACTGGGCTGCCTTTCTTTGGAATGAGCACAAATATGAATCTCTTCCAATCAGTTGGACACGTAGCTATTTTCCAAATTTCTTGGCCTAGACAAGTGAGCACCTTTGGTGCTGCGTCAGTTTGTTGAAACATTTCCATTTGTATCCCATCAGTTCCTGAAACCCCTTCTTGTTTTTCACGAATGCCTTCAGTGCAGCTTGGTCTTCCTTCAATACCATTGGGTCTTTATCATATACTACCTCTGGAAATGGAGTCCTGGTGTGGTGCTGGCAGTTAATGCAGCAGATTGCAAAGCCATTTGAACTGTAAGGTTGCCAGTTCAAGCTCACCAGCTTCTCCTCGGAAACCCTATACGGGGTCTCTATGAGTCGGAACCGACTTGACAGTACTTCACAACA